CACACAAGAATTTTTTTTCTTATACACACACATATATATATATATATATATATATATATATATATATATATATGTGTGTGTGTGTGTGTGTGTAATTTTCCTCATGTTGTATGTGATATCTCAGATCTGGTGTGTGTTCACAGAGAATACAGTAACTATTTCTGTAGGTTGGATTCTAATCTTGATTGTGTGTAATAATATCAAACTCTTGGCAGGGTTGAAGTCGCTATGCCGGTGCGTCTCAGTCTGTTTGTTTTGACGACAGGCAGTGTTGTAAAACTTGTCTCGCCTAAAATCATTCTGAATCAAATGAAAAAAGCATTGCCACAAGATATGATGATAATAAAAATATGAATTTGAGACCTCCGGGTGTTGTTTAATGAGTGAAGCGTCCGCAAAGCATCTGCTGTGACAGTCTGCTGAGCGTCTGGCACCCCTGGTGTCATGACAGATTTTGCCCACCGTGACATTGTCCAGTTGTAACAACTTTACCTTTTTATAGTGGAGAAGAGATGACTGACAAATTTTGAAGTGAGACCTGAGATGTTTTCTATTTTTTTCACCTCTGAAACATTGTTTTTTTTGTTCTTCCTTCTCTCTCTCTCCAACTTTAAAGGGTCCAGCGGAGTTCGAAAGATGACCATGACGGAGGTAAGACTGATCTCATGTTGGACTACCCAGTTTGTGTAATTCATAGAGCTTATTTCTTAATAGCTATTTAAATTCTAAATGTGGTGACTGCAGTTTCCTTCATCATTTAGTCACTACATTTTTTTTTTCCATTAAATCATGTCACTGTTCTTTTTAGATTTACTGCCATTAATCTATTTGTGTCAGAATGACCTAACTGGAAGGGAAGCACAAATTCAAAATGCATGCACAATCAGAGCAGAGATCCTAACATACACCTGATAAGTCTTCCCACTGCATAGTGGAATAGGTAATCTTAATACGCTCCATCTGTGCTGAAATGCAGGATATAATTCATTTATTAATTGGCTAATAGTCAAACTTAAATTTGATATATTAAATGAAAACATTTAAATAATTAACATTCAATGTTTTTACATTATATTTAGTCATTTAGCAGACACTTTTATCCAAAGAGGACAATAGAAGCTATCAAAACTAACAAAAGAGCAACAATGTAAGTGCAAATGACAAGTCTCGGTTAGCCTAACGCAGTACACATAGCAAGGTTTTTTCTGGATTCAGGAATCAGGAATCTTTTGTAGATTCATTAAAAGAACTTACTCATAATTATTTGTTCTGGAATTATACCCAATAATATAGTTTTTGCATGCAGTCAGCGATGGCAATTCAGTAGCAAGATTATATAAATATTTTAAAGTTAGCTCTTAACGTAGTCGGCTTTAGCATCAATTTTATGTTAATTCATTATTGGTGTTTATTTTTGCCAGTTTAGTGACCATTTTATAAGTGAAAAGGCCATGCTGTTTAGTAAATATAGTGATCTCTGAATGGTTAACATTTCACTTTAGTCATGAATTTATGCACAATGTAGCACAGGCTCTTGCGTTATCGCTAAACAGATGTCAGGTTCTCACTGGTTTCTGCACTCAGGGATTCAGTGCGTCATGCAAACATTTTCACCTTCCCTTGTTTTCTCATCTCAGTTTCTGATCTGTTAGCCAAGCACTTGTAAAAATCTCAGCTCAGTGTCCACAGTTTCATCCATGTCTGAGTGTATTTTAGTTGCTGGACATTGGTAGAGGAATGTGAACACATGAGCCCTGCAGGCTGAAGTAAGCTTGACTTACTGTTTCTGTGTTGATCAAACAGTCATGTGAGAAGGATCTCGAACAGGGCAAATATTGACACAGTTAGAAACACACACACAGACACACACACACACACACAGCTCTCATTGTCAATTGAAGATTCACATGTATCAAGGCAGTGAGAGGATGAACAGACGGACAGGAATGTGTGTGACTGTGTTTGACTCAAGGAAACACCTGACAAACAGAAAGTTAAACCTTGACAGAGTTGAAGCCTCTTGAATCCCCTGTATTAACATGAAACCATATGTTTTTTTTTTTTTATCTGTTCCCCTTTTTTCTCTGTCACTCATTTGTGTCTTTGTCTCTCTAAATAGGGGCCGGGATCATCTCAGAGTATGAAGAAGACCATTGGTCACCGAGGAGTTGACCCCACAGGAGAAACAACTTACAAAAAGGTCATCTTGCAGTTAGATTTGTCATCTGATAACATAGGAAGGGCAAGAGAAGGAAACATAAAAAAAAAAAACAGGAACCTATAAAAAAAAAAAAGAGGAATAGACCAAAGGGTGGAGTTGGAAAGGAAAAAGAGATTATAATGATACATTCTGAAATGTTGATGATGATGTAAAATGAATATCACGGGGGTTTTAAGGTACTTTCTATTTGCCCATTACATTTCCTGGACAGAGAGTTTTTTTTATAGAGTAGTTTTGTGATGCATCCTTATAATAAAAGCTTTAATATCTATTTCAGTCTCTTATTTAAACTTTAGTAGCAAAAACAGTTTTGAAGTTGATAAGTTTGATTCCTTTTCATGGACCTACGAAATGGTCTGTTTAAATCACTGTGACTCAGTGATTCATATTGCTTTAATTTTGTTTTTTATATTCTATGAATTAGGAAATTATAATCTGTATTACATATCTGGTAAATATCGCTGCTGATTGATATGTATTGTTAAATTGATGCACACACAAATATTCAATATTATTTTTATTTGTTGTGTTTAAGTGAAAAATTGTGTGGAAATCGTGGCTTTTTTATTTTTTTGTTGCTAGAAGCCATGTAAATATCATAGAAGTGGTACACAGGATGAAAGGCGATTATCAGGATTGTCGAGCACTTGACTTGGTTTGAATCTGTGTTGTATTACAGTTTAGTTTTTTTCCAAATGCATTATTATTTAAAAACAGGTTAGGATATATAATCATTTTATGTAGGATTTCTTGCACATTTGAATATATATACTGTATATATATATATATATATATATATATATATATATATATATATAT